ATATATATATATATATATATATATATACAGATTGAACAAAGAAGTCACATGACCGGAACTGTTGTGAAACTTAGAAGAGATATCTAGGCACCCCGGGGTGTTGGTTTAGAGTAGGGTTGTTTTGTTCAATTAAGATGGATTCCTTGATTTTTCGTTTGTTTATGTTGGGTTCTTTGTTTACAAAATAACACGCAATAACTGCCCAGAATTCTACATAGGAGAAACAGAAAGAAAATTGGAAACCAGATTGACAGAACACAATAAAAAACCGTCCCACGTTTTTCACCATTGCAACTAAAAAAAACCCATAGTATATCTATTAAAAACAGTCATTTTAAACAAAGAACCCAACATAAGCATACAAAAATCAAGGAATCCATCTTAATTGAACAAAACAACCCTACTCTAAACCAACACCCCGGGGTGCCTAGATACCTCTTCTAAGTTTCACAACAGTTCCGGTCATGTGACTTCTTTGTTCAATCTGTATATATATATCCGTGTCTGTGTAAATTACTTGTACCTGATGATGACAAAACCTTGTCGAAACGTTGTACATTTGCTGTCATGTTAAACTTATATTAAAGTTTTTCTTCATTACCCATTTAATCCGTCTCCAGCCATTAGTAGTGTAGAACTATTACGCAACCAAACTAAGAGAAGCGGAAAAAACACCAAATGCTATAAGTTTAACATTTATGGACATAGTCCTGAAGAAGGATCAATGTATTTAACTTAGTATTTGAGCCCTGATCTCGTGAAGTGATTAGATAGCATTTGACAGTTAATATATAAACCATAAAAGAGGGAGGAAGGGGTCTAGATAGCACCTTACCCTCCCAGGTCGTGCACACACGACCGAATATCGACCCGATTCAAAGGTATACTGTTCCTTACACTCTTTACTTCTTTTGTTTTTCTACGATTACAGTTATTTCAGCCTTTATTCAACACCACAAAAATAAACAATACTGTAAAATTATATGCTATTATCAGCTAAGCTAAAGTAGTCACATTCGCTTTTTCCCATGGAGGACTTAATCACTTATTACCATGTTTCCGTAGAAAGGCGGACTGTTTTCCTATTATTTCATTTTCTTCTTCTTTCAAACACTTTCCAGTCGACCAACTTTCCTTCATTTCTTAGCGGATTGACTTGAAACTTGTTAGTGTTATATCTTGGCCCAGACAACTTTTTAATTTTTTGACTTAGGTCTTTTTAATGATTGTATGGGATCAAGGATAAAAAAAAAATCAAAAATATATATATTTGGACTCCTATGCTGTAATATTTACAGCAATCAAGATGAAAATTAGCACAAACATATATTTTCCTGGTCCCAACACATTGACGTAAAAAAGTTCGATTTTCCCATTTTGAGTATCTTTTGTTAAGTGAGTCAGAGCTCAACAAAAAGCTTCTTTTTTTGTCCATTGCTCGGGCATTTTTTAACACTGGATTTGGTACAAAGCTACTTTTCTACAGGTCTCACATGTTGACAAATAAAAATGTTGGATTTGCCCAATTTTAGAAATTATAGGGAGTCAAAATGCCACAAAAAAAGCATATTTTTAGGGGTTTTGGTCAATTACCTACCTTTGTTTTGACCAATTTACAAGGAATTTGGTACAAAGATACCTTCTTGCAGGCCCCAAGCAGTGATATAGACAGTTTTTGATTTTTCTGTGTTTTTTACGCTTTTTTCTTGTGTCGAAATTGGCCATTTTCGGATTGCCTAGCGGAGACATGTTGCATTAACCCGCGAATATTGGCCTCTTTAATTATTACGAGTAATATAGTTTGAACGCTCGCTATATTTGATAAGCTACGCTTTTTACTGGGTATATTTGTAATTAAAGAACTACTGAACCTCAACTGTTTCTTTCACAGCGATGACATTTGACATTTTATTAAAACTAGTATTACAGTAAACAATGTTTGTTTGTTTATAGTTAAGCACAAAGCTACACAAAGGGCTATCTGTGCTCTGCCCACCACGGGTACCGAAACCCGGTTTTTAGCGTTGTAAGTCCGCAGACAAACCGCTGTGCCACTGGGGGGCTATAGTAAACAAGAACTTAAGTAAAATAAAAGTTAAGAGTAGATACTAAACTTCTAAACAAAATTATAGCAGACTTCAACAGATCTTATTTTTCTACCATGTCAGATCATGTCTTTCTTTGAGTTTTATATTTACATAATTTGAATAGGCTGGATTTTCACAAGGATTTATGTATCGTCAACATTTGCCGTTTTTTCGGTATTTACAAAGAATAATATTATTTTACAGAACAAAATTAACCAGGATTTTATGCATCATTAAATCACTGTTTTCATAAGAATGTTCTGCGGACATACAACGCTAGAAACCGGGTTTCGATACCCGTGGTGAGCGGAGCACAGATAGCCCATTATGTAGCTTTGTGCTTAATTACAAACAAACAATACTTTCACTTCCGGTGATATATTTTTTTTTACAAACACCACAAGTACATGTATAAATAACTATATATAATATTATTTTCTTTTTACAGAATATTGATTGCAAAGTATTTATAAGTTTCTGGCATTATTTTCTGATGGCGAACTACTTTTGGATTCTTATGGAAGGCCTCTATCTTCACAATCTGATATTCTTAGCCATGCTTACAGACACCAGTGGAATTTTTCCCTACGTCATCACAGGGTGGGGTAAGTAAGCTACATTAGAAAAATGCCTTTCATATTATAACAAGATTTAAGGCGCTAGACAAGAATGGACTTTTTCCATAAGCCTGTAATATATTTTGCCAGTGCTCATGTTATTTTCTCTTTAGTTATATGTTTTAACTAAGATTCCAGGAGGCACGATTTTCTTCATTGATCGCTATCTCTTAAGCAAAGAAGTCCAAACAAACGTTTATACAATTTGAAATTGTCATTAAAAACAGTTTTTTTATTTACTCTGTAATATATAAAGCATTACTTTATACTCTTTTAACACGAGCTTTATTTATGTATGTATATAACAAACATTACATTTCTTAAACTCTTATGAGTTTTTCTCTTTATTATTTTCTTCCGGTTTTCCAGCTTCAGGATGCAATTTTATTTATAATTTAAGTATCATAATAAAACATCCAAGTACCATTTTTTAACTAGAATTATATAACCTCAATTAAATATATATTTTTCACAAATACAAAATACGATTCTTATACAAATTAGTTTAAACTTATCAAGTGTACTTTCAATCTTTCATATTTTTTATAATTTTTATTTTGATTAAAACTATTCTAACTATACTTTGTCCTGTCATTATAGGAAAGACGTTTATTTCCTTAATCTTTAACAACTTAATACAAAAAATACCTTTTACTTATTTTACTTTTTATAATTCCTAGTCATAGTTTTATCGTTACGTAATTCCAACTAACCTTACTCAACTACGGTTGACTATCTGTTTGGATAGGTGTTTGGTCATTGTGCGCGACCTAGAAAGGTCAAGTTCTATTCAGACCTCTTCCTCCGCCCTTGGCTATTATTTATTATACTGTGAAATGCTATAAAATATTCACGAAATCAGGGCTTGAACGCTATGTAAAACACTGGGTTGAAACATTGATTCTACTTCCCTCTTCAGAGCCGTGTCCATGAATAGAATGCTTATATGATTTAGTGCTATTTCACTACTTCTCTTCATTTGGTCGTTTATACTCGCAAACAGTTCCATATTAAGTTGTCACTTTTCACTTGGAGTAGTTACCAGACACATATTTCACATGTGATACCTAATTCTAAGCGATTTATTGTGGTCTAGTGCAGGTGGACTTTTTCTTATAGTAAAAATTGAGTGGAGACAGGTACTTAGGACTATCATCATCGTGTATGATATAGCGATCTATTGAGGTTAGTGTGTCTTTTTACATAAAGTTTTACCAAAATATTTTAACGAGAAATATAGGAGTCTGTTGTAAATTGGTTTTATATTTGCGTATTTATGCATGAATTTTGGGTTTGGTGTTCTGGATACTCTGAAGCCGTGGTGATTACTGCATTTTGTATAGTCTGTAATTTCTTAATATGTGTTGGTGGTACTTTAGTTCAAGCAGGATAGGTGTATTCCGCTACTGGTTGTATATATTGTTTATAAATTTGAATGATATTTTCTAATGTGTTTTTTTCTGTGTTTTTACTAGTCAATCTCTTGATATAGTTTGTTCGTTGCTATATTTTGTTTCTGATTTGATTGATATGAGTTTTCAAGTTAATTTTGAATAATACGTTACACCAAGAAATTTTGCTGATGTGATGACATGTAAAACAGCTCCATGCAAGTGTATTTCGGGAGGGTTTCTGAGCGTTTTTGTTGATTTTGAAAATAGATCTAGGTTAGTTTTTGGAACGTTTATTTTTATTCTGTGTTTTTGACAATACTGTACTACTTGATTTAGAACTGGCTGTAAGTTTGTAACTGCAATCGAAGAATTCGCGAAACTCTTCCATATCGTCTGCGAATTGTGAGGTTAGGCTAAACTTTGGATCTTCTAATGGCATATCGCTTACATACACGATGAAAAGGATAGGGCTAACTACCCCTCTACGGGGAACACCCACCTCGAGAGTAAAATGCTCCGAGTAGGTGCTTTCCACGTTCACTTGACATTTTCTATTATCTAAAACGTTAGACAATCAGAGAATAACACCTGTCGGTAAATCCTATTATCTAAAACGTTACACAATCAGAGAATAACACCTGTCGGTAAATCCTATTGTTTTATTTTGTATCGTATGTGTCGTATGTTTTCTCTATACCGAGAAAGCAGACGACAGTATATCTATTTTGGTTAAAACTATCTATTATGGTTTCAGTTAATATAACTAAATGATTTTCTGTTTATCGAAGTTTTCTGAAACCATTTCGAGCTTCACGTAATTCTGATGAGACCTCTAGAAAAGTGAAGAGCTTATTACTAATTATTCTTTCTAAAATTTCCCCTATACAATTAGTCAAACAGATTGGTCGGTAGCTTCTTGGTTTATTCGCTGGTTTACCCTCCTTAAAGAACATTAGAACATTTGCATTCTTCCAAGAGCTGGGATATAAGGGGTATATTGAATAATGTTGTTAGATGGTCAGACAATTTCTGAGTACCCTTTTCGAGGAGAATGACGTATATACCATCCTCGCCTGGAGCTTTGTTTTTTTGTATGTTTTATAATTGTAATTACTTCTATTTTCGTTAGTATGTTTGTGGTGTTACTTGCACAATCATTACTACTTTTTGTGAATTTTGGAGATTAATTGAAACAGCTGGGAAACTAGGTGTGTAGATGTGTATATTTTGTTTAATGTACTCATTACCTGTGAGAAAATAGTGTGTATCCATATCTGTTCATTATGCGTTTTAAATCTTTTTCTTAATTTTTGCGTTTTGTACGTTTGTATGTGTTATTTTCTTTTCGTGATTTAAGATCGGATAAGTTTTGTACTTGTTTTGATTGTTAATGAACTGTGTGTCCAAAACTTATTTCGGTCCGAGTGTTCGTTTAATTGCGAGCAAAAAAAGTGTCCCAATTGTCTTCTTTTAATTGTATTATTTCATTTCGAATTTCGTTCCTTAGTGTATTAATCTGAGTTTTGATGTACGGATGTCTAGTATTCATATATTGTTTTCTTTGGAGGCGACTTCTTTTATCGTGTTTATTATTTGTGGGTGAGGTTGCCATTTATTATGAGCGTATATTGTTTTGGTTTTGGTATGATCTGTTCCGTAGCTTTGATAAGACACAGTAGTCGTCAATATCTGATGAGTTTTCGGCTAGATTTATTATTGATTCTGGTAATAATTGATCTAAGAATTTTTCATATTCTTCTCAATTTGTTATTTTTATAATTATATTTTGGTTTTCTTATGGGTTTATTATGATGGTGTTCAAGATCAAAGACACGTTATTGGTAAATGATCACTGTCTAAATTAAATCCAACATTGAAATTTGAACTCTTATTCCTGATTCATGATGAGTTTATACAAAAATCCAAGATATCACTAGTATTATGTAAGAGACTTGTGTGTTTAGGGGTAGTATCATTCAACAACACACAGTCTATATTTAATAAAAACTCCAGTAACTTCCTTCCGTTTTGTGTAGTTTCATTACATCCAAAATCTTTGTTTGCTATTAAGATTTCCTGTTACTATCAGGTTTTTATTATATTGATTTAACTTATTTAATAAATTTATAACTACTGTTTTAGATGGAAAACAATATATTCCTGCTATTATTACACATCCATTTGTTGATTCAACCGTTATTTGTGTTACAGTTGGGTTGATTTATATATTTCTACAATACCCCTGTTTAGGTCATTTCTGTTTAGTCTATCTATTCTAAATGAAGTATATCCAATAAATTTAAAAGAATTATTCTTATTTAGCATAGTTTTTGAGTATCTGAGTATACTGAAATGGACGGAATCTGTCTGTAGTAAAAAACACAAATGTAGAGGACAACGTTTCGAAAGTCTTCCTCTACACTTTTGTTTTTTACTAGAGGCAGTTGCATTCCATCCCAATTTACTCATCATGAATACTCTCCCGAAACAATACATTAAAGAACATCAGTATTTGTTTGTGTTATTGTCTTCGATCTCGTGCCTTTTGGAAGCAAGACCACCCTGGATATTAATATTTTCTACTGTGAATTTTAAGGCTCAAAAAGTGCCCATGAACTGTTGTACTAAGTATGAAATGATAGGGGTTATACGTCTTTTGGCTATTGTGATTAGAAAGGTAATAATACTGTCTTGTTTGTTTTGTGGGTTTTGAAATTCTTTGATGGAGTCGAAGAATGTATTCTTTACTGCTTCCATTATTAGATTATTTTCTGTCTTTATATCGTTGGTATTTGGTATTTCTAGTATTTCTTCGGACTGTTGATTTTGTTGCTGTGTTTGCTTGAAAGGTGTTTTTGTTTGTCTCATTTATTAGTTTGGTATGTGACTGTAAGTGTGTGTGAATTGCTACGTGGCTGGTTTCGTACTGCTGCTTCATACGTTTTTGTTTGCAAAGGTATTGGTTGTATAGTTTGTGTTGAGAGAAGTGGTGTTTTAATACTTGTGTTTGTCTCGCCTCTGCGTGTTGTGAAGTAGTTTCTGTTGTAGATTCTTGTTTTTATTTCTTGGTACTTTTGACAGCCTTTATTATTGGCTCTATGTTGTTGTTCGCAGTTACAGCAAAGAGGGTTTTCGTGTTCCTTTGGGCAGATTGTAATGTGATGATCACCGCCACAACTCACATAACATGCGAGGGATTTACAGGCTGCAGCCACATGTCCGTAGTTTGCAATTGTAGAATTGCATCACAACTGCGGCGAGTGTTTTAGTTTTCTTAACCTGGAATCTCTGATACCAGAGTATAATACCATTAGATATTAGATTCTGGTTATCTTGTGTGTTGTCTGTAGGTACGTTGATAATGTTTGTGATTTTTGTGTTCTGCTTGATGTGATTCTTTCAACTTTTGTGAATGTGATGTTGTTTTGTGTTACTTCCTTCTGTATTTGTTGTATCTGAATGTTGTAATGTATGCCTCTGATTATGAATGATTTTGTGTTGGGTATAAACCCTCGTAAGTGTATCTTAATGTTTCCTGTAAGCTGTTTAGGTCAGCGAGCTAAGCTCCTTTCTCTGTAACGCCGCCTTTGGCTA